ATATGGGAGGTTATTTACCTGTGGAAATCAAGCGAAACGAAGAAGGGCAAAGTTTTTTTGCAGACGTTCGCGTGATTAATATTGTGACGAGATGAGCCTGGATCCGACTCACTTAAAAATCTTCCTCGTTCCAGTCCTATTACAGTTTTGAGAAACATCCGCAACTCGAATGTTTTTAACTCGTAAATTTATCCATGCGAATCGGTCCAAAATGTCTTCCATGGATCAGTTCAAGGCTTCAATGGTTTTAAGTGCTGTAGGGGATGCATTAGGCTACAAGAATGGCGAGTGGGAATTCTGTCATTCCGGAGAGGCTATTCATCAACAGTTGCAAACACTCGGTGGCCTCGAGAAAATTGACGTCAAGGGCTGGATTGTAAGCGACGACACTGTGTTACACCTGGCCACTGCTGAGGCTCTTGTGTCTCCCTGGAAAACACGTGAAGAACTTTTCCTCAAACTTGCTGCAAATTACAAAGCTGGCATGGTGAGCAGAATACCTTTGAAATTGAATTAATGTCAGATCCAACCATTGAATCTGCACCTAACATTATCTTTCAGAATTACCTCAGAAAAATATTTATTTCATCATTATTTTTAAGAAAAATGAACAATATTTTTAATTATCTCATCTTCATTTGCTTGTTTACTGAGTGCATAGATTTCTTGATGCTCAAAATCATCAAAGATCAAGAATCCCTATTTAAGTTTTCAGCCTCTCACTTAAGGGAACTCTGTGGTGTTGTCATGGCACTGCAGTAAGGTTTACAAAAAATGTGTAATGTTTAGGTACAAGATTATTACTACTCCCACTAGATGGGATCCATTGCAGGGTCAAACCTCACACACTGCTTTTTTCGTTAGGCTTCCAGTGAAGTATCTCATCTCCATTTGCAGGTTTACTGAGTGCATAGATTTCTTGATGCTCAAACTCATCAAAGATCAAGCACCTCTATTTGCGTTTTCAGCCTCTCATTTAAGGGAACTCTTTTGTGTAGTCACAGCATTGCAGTAGGATTTACAAACAATGTGTTATGTTTATGTACAAGATTATTTCTACTCCCTCTAGATGGGATCTATTGCAGGGTCAAACCTCTCCTGCTTCCCCCACACACTGCTTTTTTCGTTAGGCTTTCAAACAGTTTCCTGTTACCCGTTTATACTTCTGGTTTGGGAGAGGCACTTTTAGAGAAAAGTTTCTTGTCCAAGTAGATAGCACCATAACCCAGCCAGATCTCTAGCCAGTCTCTTTTGATCAGGGCCGGGTTGTTCAAAGCTGGTTTAAGATAACCCACGGTTCATGTGAAATCTGATTTCAGATCTGAAAGCTTTAAAAGAAAATTCAGTCCAACTCTTTTTGTCTAGAATATGATTATTGGATGCTCTAAAAAGAATACAGAAAATTGTCCCAAAAAGGCTCTTGAATAAAGGAATAAAGAAACCCAGATTAAAAATTTAACCTTGGGTTAGCACTAACTAGCCTTTGAACAAACAGTCACTATCCACTTTG